CACACACACATACACACGCACACACCCACGTACACCCACGCGCACACACGCACACGCACACGCACACCCACGCACACCCACGCACACCCACCCACACCAACAAAAAAAACAAAACAAAGAAAAGATTCTGAAGCTCTTGTTAGCAGAAAAGGGAGGGACACAGTCACACACCATGACCTTCACTTTGAAAGAAGAAAAACAAAATAGTGATGGGAAGCCTCGGAGGTCTTAGGACGAATTTAGAATGAAAAAGATAACACAGAGAAACTGGTCTGCCAGAAAAAAAAAAGGGAGGGAATTTTCGTTATGCCCCTCAAAGATCTGTTCGTTTGCATTCTGCCCCTCAAACAGCCAGCTTGCACAGGCATGCCCCTCCCACCTGGAATCTTTTCCACAGGCCCCTGTTGGAGGGTGGTGGGCCAAATTTGCTTCATGCCCCCTTCTGGTAGAGGCAAAGCGCAGTTTCCGTCCAAACGCAGCGCAGCAATATGTAAAGGGGCATCCGAAAAAGTTAACCAGGTACCAGTAGGGACAGAGTGGAAAGATGCCAGGCCCCCCGACACTACCGTCTTCCCCCGAATAGAACGGCCGGTCATTATTGCTGCATCTGGACCGAAAGTTGTGCCAAATACAGCTATAATGACCGGGCGTTCTATTCCGGTGAAGACGGTAGGAATATTTCACAAAGTTGAACAGCCGTCAGAGGGGCCAGCCAGCGTAAGCTGGACGTTTAAGGGGCAGAGAGTGCAATAAACGCATTGTTGAGGGGCATATCGAAAATTTCCCCAAAAAGAAGACACCGTCTGCCAAATGTTCCTGGGCATGGCCGAGACATTCATTTTCATCAGGAGTGTGTTAAAAATACACTCCACCCGCTCAGGTGAGAAACGACACAGAGCAACCACTGGGGATATATCACAGTTATGCAGTCTATGTACCTACAGTAGCAGCTACCTGCTCAGCATTCACTGAACTGTCCGATGACCAGGCCCCACTGGTGTTAGTTTGTGCTTCGAAAGCATGAACCTGATCATAAAACTGGCCATATCCCTGCTAGCACTGGGACAGCACAAACCTGGCCTACTGATTCAGCAGAATATACTGCCCGCTGACACGGTCATTATACCCGTATTTGGGGCATTTTTTCAGACCAGATGCAGGAACAATGACCCGGCTTTCTATTTCCGGTGAAGACTGTAGTAGCAGTGAGGACTGGCTCTTATTCATTGAACTACGTCAAAGATGATCCGGCTTGAATGACGAGCTTGCAGAGCCTGCAGAACAATTGCCTGCACCTCCTCCTCCTCCTCCTCCTCCTCCTCTTTGTCTTGCTCCTCCTCCTCCTCCTCCTACTCCTCTTTGTCTTCCTCCTCGTACTCCTCCTCCTCTTTGTCTTCCTCCTCGTATTCCTCCTCCTCTTTGTCTTCCTCCTCGTACTACTCGTACTCCTCCTCCTCTTTGTCTTCCTCCTCGTACTCCTCTTCTTCTGCTCGTCCTCCTTCTCCTGCTCCCCCTCCTTCTTCTTCGGTGTCTTCTTCTTCTTCTTCTTCTTCTTCTTCTTCTTCTTCTTCTGCTGCTGCTGCTGCTGCTGCTGCTGCTGCTTCTTGTTGTTGTTGTTGCAAACGATACTGGTATATTATATTATTATATCATTCCAGCAAAGACACGGGATGTTTAACTTACCCATTATCATGCTACTGCAAAAGATGACGCCACCAGTCGTAAACACAATTACGGATACCCGCCCCCATCGCTTGATGACCTTTGAGAGTGCAGCATTACCTAGCCAGGCAGCAAATGCACATAGGATTGCAAAGTACACAGCTGGATGGAAAAAGGGCGGGGAGAAGAAACAAGACAGCACAGGACAGGACACACACAATTTCGTTTGCTTGGTGTTAGCCCAAAATGGTGCACACACTATATCTGGATGCTAGCCCAATAGTAGAAAAATGTCTGGCCGTTAGCCCAATAGTAAAAAAAATGTCTGGCCGCTAACCCAACCGTACAAGCAGTGTCGTGGATTAGCCCAGTGGGAGAGTGTTTACGGCAGTTAGCAGCACAACAGTGCACGCTCTGGCCGTTAGCCCAAACGGCCCCAAAGGTACATTCTTGCCATGAGCCGAATGGTACACTGTCTGGACGTTGGCCCAACGGTCGAGATTCCCTACTGGTTAATGGGGACTCCCCGTTGTCAGCCTCTGACAAACAGGCTCAAAACTGAGATTAGGGTTTGGGGTTCAAA